GTAGAAAGTTATTTTATTCATTATTGATGCACACCATCGATTGGAAATACAATTGCAGAGATAGCAATAAACTCAGTAAATATTAGGCTTTATATTATAAATATTATTCTTGTTATTAATTATATTCATTTTAGCATGTTTTTAATTTATATTACACTTGAAAATCGCAATTTAGCTAATACTTTACAAAAATAAATATTGAGCCATCTATTGTAATTTTAGATGATTACTTATAAAATTTAGGAGCTTTCATAATACTTCAAAAATGAGTAAATCTCCGATCGATTGGGTGATTCCTATTTTAACTTCAGTATCAACTTTGTGGTAGCCAGAAGGTTAATTTGGAAACTCTGGAGTTCGATGTTTAGTGTAGTTCTGCTTCAGACAAGTTCATAATTAATATAAACTTTATAAACAAACTGGCTGCATTTGAAGTCGATTAAAACACTATTGATATAACAAATGTGAGAGCCAAAATTACGGATATTGAATAACTTTTAGACATGTATTAGGGAACTAATACTGAACGAGGGTCAAGGAGCAATAAGTACTTGTGATTTATGCAACTGAAAATATAGACATAAAAAAGTACTTTTTGATAATTTTACCTTTTAGAACGTTTTACTTACAATTAGAAGAAATATTATACTAATACATTACCATTCCCTTGGAACTGGTAACATTGACTCAATACATTAAACAAACCAAAACGTTGGCTCTTGCCAGATAGTTTATGACTGGCTAGCATGTTATTAGTAATTATATGCAAATAACGATTCTGATTACAATGCCAAAATTTGTGCTTAATCACCATTGCAAACCTTAATGTTTAACATTGCTCCAAAATGAACGGCGGAGGATAATGATCATATATTGAGAGACTTGAAACTGAAAATTGTGAAGAGTAGATACATAATTACAAAATTTATAATTAGAAGAAGATATATGTATATCTCCCCTTATTTCTTTGTATTGTGAATAATTATATTTTCTTTAAGATAGACCGTGATGATTACTTTAGGATATATAAAGTTTTAGTCCCACATAAATCCAAAATTCTCGGAGGATGACTTGGTAAATTTTAATATCGATGACGAGATAGTGTCAATACAGACATCTCAAAGATATCATGTGGTCATATTATTTTGTTCCAATCATCGAAGTCACACGCTGAATAAAAAAAATCATAAGTCTTGGACACCTCGATGACTGCGTTTGAATCAAAAGTGACAAGTCAGCCTACAACTTTTGTTATTCTTTCGGATTTGTAGCAGTGTTGGCCAAGGAAATGGTAAACAATATAGATACATAGGAGCAATTCTCTACAGGAACAAGAACAGGGTGCAAAACTTAGCAATTCATTGTAGTAACAAAAAAAAATATCTGATTTGTAAAATCGTAACTCAAAATCATTATCAAATAATAAATATCTATTTTTTATTAATCATAGTTCCAATTTAACATAATGAATATATAATATTTTTAATTATCTAATATGGAAGTTTTATTTGCATATAAAGCACTTATAGCACTTTACTGTATAGCAAGTACTTATATGTAATCATATTAATTAAGTAGAAACCAAAATGAAACTCGATGTTGTATGTTAACAATTTTGATAAAAAAGTTCTCGAAATTTATACAATTTTAAATAATATAACAAAGAATAAATATAAACTTTTTTAATATGGAATATTACTAAAATATGTTTCAGAGATATTTTTTTTTAATTTGTCTATTGCAACTACTAAATAACATAACATCTAATGACATTGGGCATATAGATAAAATGTAGTATAAACCAAAGATCAGTATTTCCATTAAAATGTGCTATCCGTATTATGATAAATAATTCCAGAGGCACATAATATTGCTTAATTCAAATTAAAAGTAAATGTTGAATGAAAGACTTTAGGTAATTTTCATTTAAAAGTTTGTACAAATTGGTTAAAAGAGAAGACGATGTATACGAAATAAAAACATTATTTTATCCAAATTTCAGAATTATCTATATTAGAAAAAGACAAAATTCACATATTGTGAAATCATTTTCCAGGTGGCGTTTTCCGCAATAGTGACACAGCTATACGAGCCAGCCCTACGCAAAATTTAGAATCATTATCGAAAAAAATATATTTAAAAATTAGAAAATGCACTGCTAAAAAGGTGAAACCACAATAACAAAGTAGAATTTTTAATAATTTAACTCAAACTCACAGACTCATTTTGAAGCAAAGTTCGACACATTGGATTGGACACTCGTACACACAGGTCGAGAGGCGGATAATATTTGTAAATCCAATTAAGAGTTCTCTTGTCAGTTTATGAACATGTTGAATTCAATCTGTATTTTACGTTATCCATAATTTAATAATATTAACAATTGCAATATTTATAAATGCAATTGCAAATATTAAATTATTTCTAAATTCCCAAATATTCAAAAAATGTCATTTTAGGTGAAAAAATTCAACTTTCCATAACTCCAAAAGTATCTCAGAAGCAAAAGTAGGTAAACGCCAATATTGCACAGAAATTATTAATTTATTAATAATATTTTTTTTGCTATCTACTATCTCTGTTTATCAATGCAACCGAGAGATCTTTCAGTGAATCAGTAAGAAAATATTTCTGTTTCCGTGTCTGATGATGATTTGTTAAAAATCGAATTCTTTGTCGGTTTCCACAATACAAATGTACGACTAATATAATATAAGCAAAGAGAGTTGATTCACTCCTTATGCGTTTGAAGAGGAGTAATTAATGATGCACATTGCACATACATGCCGTATCGATCAGCTGTCGTGCAAACACCTTCGGAAAACCAACAGGGACGAAATAAATACAAATATTATATATATATATATATATATATATATATAAGGCATTTTAGCAAGTTCGGCGAAAGCAAAAATATAAAGCATCGGCAACTATAAGACACCAGGTTAAAATCCGCGTTATGGATAACAAAATAAGCAGTAGAATCCAGTTCTATTAGAATTATAAATGACAATATGTTTCCAAGTATAAATAGCCCTTCCAAACATTTTCAAAATTTAGTTGAACCAAAAGACTAATTAATGTTTAAAAATATGTCACAAGTAGAAAGACTAAGCATTGAATTGCCTTCTAATAGCTCATTTTTTTAATATACAAAATAATTACCTCATGACTTCTATACTGACTGAATGAATATAGTAAACAATTTGTAATCGGTTCACGAAAATAAGTTTTATACATAGAAAAAAGTTGTGAGAAATATTTTAATATTTATTACTTATTATTATTCAGAAGAACGTATCGTTCACATGAGTAAAGCTTAGTCATTTGCTGCTAAAAAGTTGTTGCCAGGAAAGTATTTGAGGAGTTTTGAAAATTGATAGTCTTGTAGATTTTTCGAAGTGCTCTTTACGATTTTTAACTTTACCACCTCGAATTTTTGTTGCTTGTGCCGCCATATTGGAAAAATGGCGTCCAAAAACAGTTTTCGTTCTAACTAACTTCTTTCTTTCTAACAATATCTCCTTTACAATAAAAGTGTCCATATATGAATTAAACTAGAGAAATTTTTCTGCAATTCATTTAATACCTATTTTGTTGTAAAATCAATAGTTTTGGCATACGAACAAAACAAAAGTCTTTGCTACTCATGCCTCAATATCGGGCCTCTCTAATAAATAAATTGGAGACATTCTCTCTAATAAATAAGTGTTTTCAAAGACAAGTTAAGCGAAAAAAGTTTAAATACACAATTTGAACTTTTTTGCAAGACTACTTCTGCAAACTTTTTGGAATATAGCCAAAGAGACACACATTTGTGGGATACTTTGATATATATATGGCGCAATTTAGCAAATTTATTAAATTATAAAATTTTAATAAGTTTAAATTTCAATTAAAATACATAATAATTAAAAAATCATTAATGAGATATGTTGGTGTTGAATAAATTAGAACAATATAAATAAATTATGAGAGAAAATGTTAGTATCTTGCATAAACCCATTAAACTCCATATTGATATGGAACAATGAAAAGCGTGCATATTGCGCACGGCCGATTCTGCAAAACTTTATTAAACAATTTTTATAATTGAACCATGTTTATAATATTTTGGGATGTAGAGTTTTATCAAAATCCCAGAAGAGTAAACATGAGGTCTCTCCTTGTTAGACTGTAATGACTTTATTTTAAAATACAATACTTACTTCCTCAATTCAATTTTTTTAAACCATTTACCTTACTTCAATCTTTATAAAATAGTATAAATCTTAAACAACAGTTTCAACTGAAAGGTTGTTGTAATTTCAAGTTTTTTCTGATATCATTCTAGTCACATATTTTGTTTTTTGTTGATTTGTAAGCTCAAGGACCAGATAGAATTAGTGGCTCTATCAACCGTTTTAAATGTAAATATTGATTGATAACAAATAGATTTACACTTATTTATTTATAGAATATAATTTACACTTTTTGTATGATAAAGTTTTAGTATTGATATAATATTAGAATATTTGAATGTGGATAGCTTGGCGACCGGGTTAAGACTATATTGTTAGTGCCGCCTTCAGGTACCTAGCAGGACCCTTTTAGTTAAATCTTGAGATGCAAATTGCCTATGCGTCGTTGCAAATGTAATATTTCTTAGAAAAATGAGTGCAGCGTTGTCACGTCTAATTTGGCGTGAACATTCTCCCCCCCTTGAAATAATATAGAGTATATGATTTCAAAATTAGAATTATAGTTTAACACTTTGAGTTTATAACAGTCTTTTGGTTTGATTTATATTGTCTATTGTTTTGGTAACACACAAATTCGATTAATTGCACGTTTGAGTACACCATTTTGTGTCTTGATTGTCACAACACGCACAAGTCCATCATCTCCTGGATGTGTGTCAAGAATACGCCCCAATCGCCAGTGTAGTGGAGGTAAATTGTCTTCTCTGACCACTACCATATCGCCTACCTCAGCTGGTTGCGATGGTTGAACTTGCCATTTTATTCTTGTCTGCAGCTCCGATACGTATTCTTTGTGCCAACGCTTCCAAAAATGTTGCACAAGTTTCTGTAGTCGTTGATACCGAAAAGCCTGTTATCAAGGGTTTCAAGCACTGATGGATCGGGAGTGGATGTTAAGGATTTTCCAATAAGAAAGTGACCAGGAGTTAAGGGATCATAGTCATTGGGGTCGGAGCTTAAGGGAGAGATTGGTCTCGAGTTTAATATTGCTTCGATCTGTGTCAAAACCGTATAAAAATCTTCAAAAGTTAAAATAGCATTACCCAATACTCGCTTTAAATGAGCCTTGCACGACTTTATACCCGCCTCCCAAATTCCTCCAAAATGAGGAGAGTTTGGTGGAATATGCTTCCATGACACGCCTTCGTTGGTCATATCATTAACAATCTTATTTTGATTTGATTTTGTTTGTAAAAATTTATAAAGCTTTTTTAATCCTGATGCTGCGCCTATAAAATTCGTTCCATTATCGGAATAGATTTCGCGAGGTTTTCCGCGTCGCGCCATAAATCGTTTAAAAGTGGCTAAAAAACTATTCGTAGTTAAATCAGATACTAATTCAATATGTATTGCCTTTGTAACAAGGCACACGAACAAACATATGTAAGCCTTAAATTTTCTGTATCCTCTTGTTTGACGATCTCTTAATAAGATAGGACCTCCGTAATCTACTCCGCATATAAAGAAAGGTGACTGCGGTGTAACGCGATATTTAGGCAAATTGCCCATTAATGGATTAATAAATGTGGGTTTTACCTTAAAACATGTTACGCATTTTTTCACGATCGATCTTGTCAGGTTTCTGCCTCCGATAGGCCAATAAGTATTACGCAACGCATTTATTAACATCTGTGCTCCGCAATGATACAGTTTTAAATGCTCATGCCTAGTTATTAGAATAGTCAATTGATGATTTTTTGGTAGTATTATCGGATGGCATTTATCATACGGTAAATTTGAATTCTTTATCCTACCGCCGACGCGCAATATTCCATTTTTGTCTAAAAACGGTGTTAATGATTTTAATTTCGACGATTTGTGTAATGCTTCCCCACGCGCGACTATATCTATGTCTTGTTTGAATATTTCATATTGTGATATTTTTATTAACTTGTTTAGTGAATTATTGAATTAATCGACCGTGAGTGGGCCATACAGTAGTTCTTTTTCTTGCTTCTTTAGTTTTAAATTTTGTAAAAATCGATAACAAAAAGCAGTTACGCGCACGAGTTTAATAAGGGAAGAGTATAAGAAAAAATGTTTGTTATTCTTAATTTTTGTACAAGTCAAACTTGTGATTCGACTTTCGACATCAGTTTCAGGAATTGAAATATTGTCAGTTGCACGTCGCTGTGTTTCAGTTAGATTTTGTAGCCAAGATGGGCCTGCCCACCACAAGGATGAATTCAATAAATCATGTGTATAGCACCCACGTGATATGAGGTCCGCTGGATTGTCTTCCGATCGGACATGTAGCCAGTTATTTGCGTCGGTTTTTGTTTGAATATCAGAAACTCTATTGGCAACGAAGGTTTTCCATTTATAAGATGGAGATCTTATCCACGAAAGAGTGATAGTGGAATCGCTGAAATAGAATTCTTTGTCAAACGCGATATTTAATGCACGTTTAGTTATTTGCGCAAGATTTGCTAGTAGTTGTGCCGCACAAAGCTCGAGACGGGGGAGTGTAATATTTTTTAATGGTGCTACTCGAGATCTTGCCGCTATTAGTTTGATTTTGATTTCAGAATATTTGTTAATAGACCGTACATATATACACGCGCCGTAAGCTTGCTCTGATGCGTCAGCAAAGCCATGTAATTCTGTGTTTATACGATTATTACAAAATATATGTCTTTCAATTTTCAAATTTTTAATAGATTTTATTTCGAAACAAAACTGTTTCCATTTATTTTCTAGTTCCGAAGGAATGGGCTCGTCCCATGATAAGTTTAATCGCCATAGGCTTTGAATTATTAGTTTTGGTATGACGATAATTGGAGATAAAAAGCCCATAGGATCGTACATTTGCGCTGTTGCCGATAAAATGGATCTTTTACTAACTATTTGATTTATTCTTATATTTTTGTAGTCAAATTCAAAACTGTCTGTTACCGAATTCCAAGATATACCTAAAGTTTTGATAGTTTGTTCACCGATGTTTAAAGTTGGATTATCTGCATTTAAAAGTTTTGAATAATTAGAATTAAATTTATATAGATTGAATTTAGCTTGTTGTAAAATATTACAAAGGTTATTTTTAATAGTGAATAATTCGGATATGTTATCAGTTCCAGTTAATAAATCATCAACGTAGAAATCATTTCTGAGAATTTCGCATTCCTTTGTATAGTTAGTTATGTTTTCTCTGGTTAACTGCTCCAAACAGCGTATGGCTAAAAACGGCGCAGAAGCTGTTCCGTATGTAACTGTATTTAATTGATAAATTTTTAATTTGCTATTAGGATTGTCCCTCCAGAATATTCGTTGCATTTTTCTGTCGTTTTCGTGAACCAAAACTTGTCTGTACATTTTTTCTATATCAGCTGTAAGTACAAACGCATGTCTTCTGAATCTTAGTATAATAGAGAAAATATTGTTTTGAATTGTGGGTCCAACAAGTTGTAGTTCATTCAACGACAGGCCTGCATCGGTTTTGCAAGATGCATCGAACACTACACGCAATTTCGTTGTTAAACTGTCTGGTTTTATCACCCCGTGGTGAGGCAAATAGAAACACGTCGCGGGTTCGGAAGATTCGTTGACTTCGCTCATGTGCCCTAGTGTTATATAAGTATTCATGAAATTTTTGTATTCGTTAAATAGATTTTTGTTTGTTCGTAAACGGTTTTCAAGTGAAATAAAACGTTTAAACGCGATTTGCTTACTATTCCCTATTTTTTTTATATTGTCTGTAAACGGAATTTTAACTATAAATCTCCCGTCGTTTGCCCGCGTTGTATTGGCAACAAAATGCTGTTCGCATTGTTTTTCTGATTCGGTAAAATATTGTATATCGCTACACGCTTCCAGTTCCCAGAATTTTTGAACTTGAGTTTCTAAATTAGCCGTATGATGACATATCGTAAAAGAACTGGAATTGTTGAGAGGTACGCTGCCAGCAATAACCCACCCGAACTGTGTATTTTGCAAAATAGGTCTATTTTTTCCTAGATGAATATATCCTTTACAAAATATATTCCAAAATATTTCCGAACCTATTAAAATATCGATTTTATTGCTTTTATTAAATGTGGGATCCGCTAACTTTATATAATTTGGGATATTTAAAATATTTTTATTGAATGACACCATCGGCAAATTATTTGTTATATTATTTAAGATAAAGCAGGATAGATCTAATGAAAAGTTATTAATGCACGATTTTAAAGTAATTGTTGTTTTTGACTTAATTTCCGTTGAATTTTGATTTATTCCCCGGACTGACATATTTATTGATTGTTTATGTAAACCGAGCTCATTAGCAAATTTCTCCGTGATGAAATTGGATTGTGATCCCGAATCTAATAATACTCTACATGCTCTATATCTATTATTGCTATCTAATACGTTAATTACTGCGGTAGATAAGATGATTTGACTTGAATCATTTTCGGTATGGCACGAAACATTTTGTGGTGCATTATTAACAGCTGGTAATTGGCTTGAGTCTATATGCAGAAGACTGTGATGATTTGAATTACAAAAGGCACAACGATTTAAAGAAGTACATTGATCACTGTTGTGATTGTAACGTAAGCAATTCGTGCATAGTTTTAATTGATTTACTTTGCTTACTCTATCTTCTGGAGATAGTGTCCGAAAACCTTGACATTTGAACGGTGAATGAAATGACTCTTTGCAAATTAAGCAAATATTTTTGTGATTAGTGGATGAAGCGTAAGACTTTGTATGTTTTGCGTAATTAGGTTTTATATCTTTAAATTTACTAGAGTTTCCGATTCTTGTTTCAGTCGGATTAATTGCTTCTAATATTGTGCAGCGTTGATTTAAAAAATTGCTAAGTTCGGAAAATGTAACTAGTTCAGATCCTTTATTCATTAACATCTCCCACTCTTGATGAGTTTTCTTATCAATTTTAGAAATTACAAGATAATTTAATAACGCGTCCCATTGATCGACGGGTTGTTGTAACATTTTTAAGCATCTTAAATGTTTATTAAACGCGTCTATTAGATGACGAAGGTCTTTACCTGATTCCTTATGCATTGGCGGGTGATCAAATAATTTTTTAATGTGATTGTTTACGATTATTTTCTTATTTTCGAAACGCGTTTTTAGTAAATCCCACGCAATTATATAATTATCGGAAGTTGCCGGTAGAGACTCTATAAGGCTTGCCGCCTCTCCTTTTACGCATGATTTTAAATAATAAAATTTTTGAGAATTACCGATGTTACAATCATTATGAATTAAAGAAGAAAACGAATCATAAAATTGTAGCCAATTTAAGTAAGAGCCGTCAAACTGAGGTAAATTGATTTGAGGTAGTTTTATGTTGTTCGAATTATTTGTTATAGTGGTGTCATTGGAATTACTATTCGAACTAGTATCCGACTTACTTGATGCTGCCTGACTAAGTTTAAGTAAAGTTGATAAACAATTATTATGTTTTTCAAAAAATTCATCTAACTCTATTTCTATTAAATTATTAATTTGACTTTCGTCTTCTAGTAATGCTGTTATACTAATTACGGTATTTTCAAAGATTTCAAACAAAGGCTTCACATCATCGATAAGGCGTTTTATGTCTGCAATATTTAAGTCGCAAGCAGGTAGTTCCGACATTTGCCTGCACACTTTTTCGTATTTTGTTAAACGTGTTTTAGTAACTCGCTGTTTCATTTTGAGTTTATTCAATGATTCCATTTTGACACAGATTGAATTAAAACTCTAAATATTAAATAAGGAAAGATTGATAGGAAGGAATGCTTGACTAACCTGATATACTCGCTGCTTGCTGTGCTCGCTCGTAGGTGTAGCGCCAAAGTTAGAACTTCCTGTCTTGTTTAGAACTTTCACTTTATTTAATTTTTTATTTAGATTTAAGATTTTAATTATTTTCTTCGCACTGGTGATCAAATCCGGTTCGTTTTGGACCAATGTTTTTTGTTGATTTGTAAGCTCAAGGACCAGATAGAATTAGTGGCTCTATCAACCGTTTTAAATGTAAATATTGATTGATAACAAATAGATTTACACTTATTTATTTATAGAATATAATTTACACTTTTTGTATGATAAAGTTTTAGTATTGATATAATATTAGAATATTTGAATGTGGATAGCTTGGCGACCGGGTTAAGACTATATTGTTAGTGCCGCCTTCAGGTACCTAGCAGGACCCTTTTAGTTAAATCTTGAGATGCAAATTGCCTATGCGTCGTTGCAAATGTAATATTTCTTAGAAAAATGAGTGCAGCGTTGTCACGTCTAATTTGGCGTGAACATATTTATTTTAAAAAGTATATTAAGAAAAGCATAACTAATTTTTGTACTAAAGCGTTTGTTTTAACTATACGACATAATTATTTTCAAAATTAAATTATAAAATGTATGTATTTCTTTTACAAAAATACATATTTCTTATACAAAATATATTACAATTCGGCCCTGTGATATATTTCTAGTGTAGGTGTGAGAAAGGCGCGCGTTGAAAAAAGGACACGATGTTGCATTATCAAAGGTACATGTTTTGTCAAGCCATG